CGAACGTTTTGGGACCGTAAATCCGGAAATTTCGCCGAAACGCCGAAATTAGGGTTGGGACCGAAATTTTCGCGAATTTTTTTTTCGTTCTCCTTGTTTGAGAAATTCCGAAAATAGGTTTAGGCTTTAAAAAAATCGGATTTTGACGGTGGAAATTCCCGAAAATTCGCATTTTTGAAAATTCGAGCGTTTTTTTCTTCTGAAATTTTCCGATTTTTTTTTTAGCACACTAAGCCGTATCTGACCCTCAAACTGCAACTTCCGGGTAGTTCACTCAGTAACATTGAACTCACGGACTCATAGTAATCTCAAAAGAGACCTAGCCATATTACCATTCAAATTCGTTTTATGATTTCAGTGATTAATTATCTCGTATTTTTTCATTAATTAAATTTATTGATTAAATCGTTAATTATTTTATTACGAATTTTTTGAATTGGTTCCGGGAATTTATTTTCGGGTTTTGATTAGGGGTCTATAGTCCAACAAGTGGGACAGGGGATTGTAGGTGTATTGCTTGATTGTTCTACCCCTGTTCCCACTCTCCCTACCCCCCCCGTGTTCTGTGATTACCGGGACTTCTCAAGTACCGCATCGGTTCAAACTGATGTCGACGGAACAGGACACCGGGGCACTGCCACGACGCAGTGCCAGAATCGCAGTTCGTGCCTGCCCTGCAGTACCTCCAAGACCGAAGAAACTCAGCAGGCGGACGACTCCAGCAGCATCAAGTATGGCATTGACGGTACAAGACGCCACCAGAGATCATCCCGCATACCCAGTCCGTGGAGCCAATGAGCCGGCGGCTGATTATCGTGGGCGGCTACTGGCATTTACGGAAGCCGTAGCTGCCGTCGAGGCCCGGAAGGAGACAGCAGAGGCAGAACGTCAGCGGCTAGCCAATGAAGCGGCAGCCGAAGCTCAGCGAACGACTTAGACTGACGTAGAGACACGAGACAGACGGAATGCCAGCAGCACGGAGTCCTTGATTGCTTGTGGGCATTAGTGGACGACGATACTCCAAGACATGGTCTTTGTGCCAACGGAAGCGCAGGCAGACCCGACACCGGCGGAGGCAGAGAGAAGTAACCTGGCTAACTTGCTGTTGGGCATGATGAGAGGTATTATGTGGAATAAAACACTGCTGCATTCACATCTGCGTACGGACGCGACGCAGCGACAAACATACAAGAACGATATGACTACGTTAACAACTGCTATCCGCACAGAGGCAACGCAGCAGCAGCAACAACATCATCTGTTGAATTCCACTATCACACGCGTCAACAGCATAGAGGCTAACGCCTCAGCAGCGCCAGGCTGCACGACAGACGTGACGAAGCAGCTCAACGAGCGCATCGATCACGTCGTCACCATCATCGGCGATATAAGTACTTTCAACGGACCAGACTCGATCAGCAGCACGGTGGCCGCCATCAAGACGGACATCACCAAGCTACAGACGAGACCGGAAGCCGCTACAAAGACGTTCAAGATGCCGCACTTTGACATCAGCAAGTTCGATGATTACAACAAGTCGGACGCCTTG